ACAGCAAATAGTTTGTAATCTGAAAATTAATAGCGCACCCGGAAAAGACGGCTTACACACTAAAACTATCAAGATGATCATGAAGTATATCAGTCACCCTATAACTCACATTATCAACCTCTGTTTCCAATCCTCAGTAATTCCTCGACAATTTAAAGAAAGCATAGTGACACCAATATTTAAATCTAGAAGTAAAGACAATATATTCAATTATAGACCTATTTCAGTTATCAGTGTATTTGAGAAGATTTTTGAGAAGTGTTTGAATAACAGACTTTGTATCTTTTCTTGAGAAATATGGCATAATATCGAACTGTCTATTTGGGTTCCGCAAAAATTGCAATACAGAGCAATCTCTACACGAACTTACAAGATAAGTGCTTGAAAATTTTCAAGATGGAAATAAGACTGTTGCAGTTTTCCTAGATCTTCAAAAGGCTTTCGATTCAGTATCTCATACAATTTTATTAAAGAAACTAGAAAGTGTTGGAGTGCGTAGTGGAGTTCTGAACTTATTTGAGAACTATTTGGCTGATCGATATCGATTACAACAAGTTAAGGTAGGGTCAGATTTAAGCAGCATTCAAAAGATCAAAATAGGTGTGCCTCAGGGGACGGTTTTGGGACCAACACTGTTCCTCATATACATAAATGAACTACTTCGATGCAATTTCAACTGTAAAACGATATCATATGCAGACGATACTGTTTTAGTTTGCACTGGTCATTCATGGGATGACGCAATACGGAATGCCGAGTTGTTATTAAATAAAGTCAAATGCTGGTGGGATAACGATTTACTTAAAATTAATATCTCTAAAACTAAGTATGTAATGTTTTCTCCAACCAAAGCAGGCATATCATTACACCACCGAACATTAATTATAACTCATAGTGCTGACACTGTCGAAAGAGTTGAGGTTATTAGATACTTAGGAATCACTGTTGACAGTAATTTAAAATGGCAGAGTCATGCCGAGCTTTTGGCATCGAAATTCAGGAGAATTCTTCATAAGTTTTTCATTCTTAGGAATATTTTAAGCAGAAAGAGTCTTCTCTCAATATATAACTCGTTTGTAGGGACTACAAACTTACGGGATAAGTATATGGGGAGCCGCATACACTAGTACTTTAAAAATACTACAAACCACGCAAAATTATATTGTCAGGACTATTTTTCGTATCCCATGTAGCTCAAGTTGCAGATTTGTTTACATTGAAAATGATCTTTTGAATGTCAGAGGTTTATACATTTATGCTGCTCTGAAATTTGTTCACTCCAGAAACAATGTTCCAACCAGCCATGCTTATGAAACAAGAACTAAAATAAATATAAGTTACACTTATACTAGAGTGAAAAAATCTGTTTGCCAAAAATGCATAAAGTTTGCTGATATTAGGTTGTATAATAAATTACCCCTAGAATATAAAATCCTCTCGAAGTATAGTTTCAAAAAAAGAATTAAGAAGTTCATCTTAAATAACTTTGACATGCTTGCATCAACTGTAGCTTGACTCAACTGTCATTTCGTTTCTATCTAATGTTTTTTATTTCTTTTTTTTAAATACATTTGCTCATAATATACTTTGACCATGAGCCATGCATTGAATTTGTATATTGTCTGACATACAAGCTTATAGGTGTCTATTCTTTTGTAGTAAATTGTAGTACTCTTGTTTCTCTGCTTAACCTTTACGCAATTTTTTTTTTGTTTAAACAACATAGTTTGACCTTACTCGAAATATCCCTATATTATGATATTTTAGATATTCATATTTTATGTACTCTATATTTATACTTCCGTGTGTTTTTAGTAGGTTTCTGTACTATTGTTATGAATTTTAGATTTGTTTATTCAGACACGTAATTTAGGATTTGTGACGGCAAGATTCAGATATTTACCCTTTACGAAAGTATACAGAATTTTTATAATTCATATACCGTTATTTGCTGGTTCTAGATCTGATGCTAGTATCTTTGCTTAGATTTCTGTTGCAATCTTGGTTATTCAGGGTAGCAAGGGCATACAAGCTCATGTATTTTTGAAACTGTTTTTTTATTTAGATTGTACTGAAGGTTGTTTTTAATTTGTAAGTTATATTGGTTTTTGAATTTGAAAAAAATTGAATTTGTAAGTACAGTCAAAAATAATAAGAACCTTCATTTTCGCCAAACACTGAAATCTAAATTTGTCTGACTGTTTGAGATAAATATGTTATTTTTTTATCACCTTGTGTAATAATGACTCAAAAACCATATTTATGTAGCTAAAAGAAAATTACTATAGTGGAAACAAAATGAGTTGCTTTTGGGAACCACCTTTTTTCATTACAGCTTTATTAACAATAACTGAAATCCACTATATCGTACTCGCTTTTATCATCGATACACATTTTTAGATCATTCACTAGAGGATCGACTTGAGAGTGGATCAATAGGAACAATATTAAAACCGAACAGTTTTTCTTTCAAAAAATGGGTTATTTTGTCGAACTCAAACAAGACATTTTTTCAGCTAACGGAGTATGTATCAGATCAGCAATATTGCATCCCAATTTTATTAACTATAACTGAAATCCAGTAAATCGAACTCGTTTTGAAAATATAGTCATTATCATCAATCCGCACTTCCAGATCATTGACTAGAGGATAAACTTGAAAGTAAATCACAACTAGTCCGTCTCTGATGATCTGAATGGATTAATTATTATTTTCCATAAACACCGCGCCACGTGAGGGCCATACTGGTAATTTTTTGCTGAATTGCAGTGTTGTTCCAAAATACTGATTTCCAGTGAAGTCTTGTATCTTTGAATGGAAATGTCCTAGAACGTGTTTGAAGAAGTATCTTTTTTGTTTTCTTATGCATCCAAGATATTGTCATGCCACGATATAGGAACGGGCCTAGAAAGAATATCTATGGACTAGGATGGGCGTGTTGACTGACTTGATCCATATAATTTCTAGTGCACATATTCGTAACTAACTTGTTTCTTGAAGGGTTTAACTTGAGCTGAACTCAATCCTTTATAAACTGATGACGGAGAAGCTTAGGATTTGCAGAGTAAATCTAGGAGCTCAGATACCGGTACGGGTATTACGTATCTTGAAAATTTGCTGAATTTCAAAAATGAGAGAGATAAGAAATGATTATATTCAGTGTAAACTGTCAAATTACAAGCCATATACATGCTAACAGTATCTACACACAACGCGTTGGTGATTTCCCGTAATTCTCCAAAAAGTTTTTCATAATTTATAGCTTTAAACATAACCTCTTTTCAGAAAGCACAACTCAAATAACTCGTCGGGCACAGCTAATTAATAGATATACTTCATTGACAGCATATTCAGTAATGATTTTTTTCACCCAGCAAATATCACTGATTTTATACACATTCAGACCAATACACATAGTCATCCAGATGCGATCTTGCTATTTAACCAACTTCCTTCTCTGAGATGAAAACCACAGATTACTCGGTTTCCCAAAACATATGCAACCAACAATGCGTGTAGTTGAGCTATTCGTCCATAGATGGACGTGCAAAATGATCCTAGTGAGCAAACGTGGAATGACTGTTTGCACGCTAAAGACTACCGAGACTGCAAGAGAACATTTTATAGGTGTTTTTTTTTATGTTTTATAGGTTTTTACAAAATACCCGTGCGAGGCACCGCGACTGCTATAAGAAACTTAAAGATATTCTGTTAATCTGAGTTTTGAACTGGTTAAGGTTAGAACTGGAGAAATCCTCATTAGGCACATTGAGAGAAAGGAGCGGTCGTATCGGCCCGTTCTTCATGTAAGCTTGACATTGTTGCTATGCTGATATTTTATAGTCTGAGTAATGATGTCCCAAAGACGGTATTCATTACTACGATTTTGCACATCACATACAAAAGTACTCACCGTTCATTTGTTGAGAAATTTCAAGTTCGGCTCTGTTGCCGGTGGTAAATTGTTTGTTAGTCTAAGTTTTGTAACCTTCCAGCCGATTCGGGGAAATAAAAGGTTTAATGACCATATCATTGATCACACCAGCCCAAACATTCAAAGGAAATGTTTGTTGAAAATGTAACGGACGGAAATTATTTTCATATTGTCGCAACAACCACTCACAAAATTGTACTCTTGCACGAAAGTCCTCAGCTTGAACTATAGGGTACAATCCATCATCACGCAGCGTTTGCCACACCTTAGACTTTCACACTTGCACTTGTCTAGCCACTTCCCTAGTACTTGTTGAATGAGATATTCAATAGTATTTCCCCAGTTTGTACCATTCGTGGTTGTCTATATCTCTCCCACTGCGTCCACCTGCAAAGGACCTGTATTTTTGGCTCTTTCAACAAATCTACGCGGCCCTGAACGACAACATCTGGGAGAGTGATCGGCATGCACCCGCGAAGCCTCGGTAGCATTTTGAAGACACGCACCATGAATTAAAATCATGTCAACACGTTCGATATTGCTATACGAGCGTGTCAGTTTGGTTTTCCGAACCGATTGGAAATAAACGTCTTGTTTACCAACGCTGCCGGTAGCTGGATTTAGTACTAGCGTGCGTCGGGCCTTCTCATTTTTGATCTGATCGAAATACCGAAGCGGATTAAGTTTGACTGATTTTGCGGGTCTGACTTTGGTATAAATGTTTTTTATGCTCTGAAGAGCAAAGCCCGTTGGTGTAGCGGTAGAAGGCAGCTAGATCGCCAATGGCTGGCCGATACGCAAGGGCCCCGAGACTCTCTGTTAGAGAAGAGTCATTGATCAGTTGGACGCCCTCCTCTTGACAGCTACTAGGAAATACCGCTTACTTGTTCAAGGTCTGTGCGCCGTGTAAAGGAAAGTCGCAACTTTGCAGACAACCCTGTATATATTGAGGAACAAACGTCTTTATTAGACATGATGACTAGTGAAGCAGTACGCCGCTTCTTAAAAAATCTTTTTAAATTCCTAGTCCTGTTTGAATATTTTTAACTTCTTTTCCCTTGTTCCAGAATGTACTATGCAGCTGTCATCCCCCTTCTACTGTGCCTCGCAACACAAGCCTGGGCTCGGTATATGTGTCCTACAAAATGCACCTGCTACCTGGACCAGAAGGGCAGACGAGCGGTCTTGTGTAAAGAAGGCGGTCTGGTGGGCCCGTTAAATCTGAACAATGTATCTCTAGACACCGAAGTCATCAAAATAACGGCTCCAGATGACAACATGAATGAACTGACCATGTCTCCGGTCTTCCAAAGCTACAAGAAACTGGAAGAGATACACATAACGAAGTCTAATGTGCCTCAACTTGGAATGCACTTCTTCTGGGGTCTCACGAAGCTAGACGTGTTGAACCTATCCCAAAATAATATTACGCAGCCGCTGGACCACAACTTCAGAGGTTTGTCCAAGTTGAAAGAGTTGTACTTGGATGACAATAGAATCATTTCGTTGCCCAGTGGAACATTCAGGTTTTTGCATGAGTTGAAGGTGTTGAGCATACAAAGAAACCGGATTGAGGAGTTGACTCCGAGGATATTTTTGGAGGTTGCGAAATTGCGGGTGCTGAAGCTGAGCGGGAATCATCTGAGAGAACTGAATCCTGAGGTCTTCAAGGATGTTCAGGTAAGTGTTGAACTTTATGTTACATGCAATTTTTTTAATTAATGAATAGTTTTTAGCTTTTTCCGACAAAAAAATTGATAACACCTCATTAAAAGTATTAAGAATACTTCTTCGAACAGAATGTTGAAAGAAAGCGATGTGCGACCTCAAATAGAAAGTTAGAGACTTGTAGACACCGGAGGCATTTATTTTTAATGACGAGTGTAGCTTACGCAGATTTATGTCTGATTATAACTTATAAAAACAGTCACTTTCAAAAATTTACTTTGTCCTGAAGCGGATTATGTTAAATTCAATGCACAAAGTAATGCCAGAATGGTCCGAATCTGAAGAATCGTCATTTGAATTTGTGCCCCATGACTTGAACAATCTTTTTGTAAGTATAATTTCAATTCGAAATCTACGTGTATAAATTTGACGCAGTTTCCTGTTCACTGTTTTGTTTCCTAGCCCTGGAATGCAGAAATATGATTTCCCTCGGTCATAAAAAAAGTTTCAAAATCCTCAATCGAAGATTTATGTGCATCATGCGGAATGTTAGTTCAGTCGCAGAATGTGCACAACAAAATATTTTCGTACTATACGAGGGCGGTTCGATAAGTACGTAGCCTCACCACCAGATGGCGCCACTATTACAAGAGAAATTTACTATCTATACTACAACTATTTAAAACTGTAATGACTCATACGCGTGATCAACACGTGATCAGAGCTCGATTCCGGCTTCCTTCCAGTACAGCCGTATAGCGTACGACATATGTCGTTTCTGTGGCTTTGCGGTGGTCAACAGCACAGACAGAGATGGAAATAATAGCTGATTGTTCTCCGCCGGTAGAACCAATGAAATCAAAGACGCGCCTCGACCGGCAGGCTCATAGGCGTCGGCAACGCATTGGAACGTGTTTCGTTGAGCGATCGCATATTGTGTGTTTTTATAAGAATTGTTGTGTGATTGTTATTGTTGTGGTTTCTGTGGTTACTGTTTTGGTTATACTTAACCATGCAGAGTACAAATGGCACGAGTGGAAGTACTGAAAGCCAGGGAACAAGTAGACGGCTTCGTAAAGCACTGAAGAGGGACGCGAAAGAAATCGTGCTCAACGTGTTCAATTATCTGAACAGAACTATGTCGCAGGGAGATGCACTCGCGCGTTGTGAAAGTATGACAGGCGTTCCACAGTGGACTATTCGCAGGGTGGTGCATGAAAAGAAGAAAACTGGAGCTACTACTGATCCAAAGTTTAATTTGAAGGGACGAAAGGCCGTTAAATTGGATGACGATAGCAAAATGGCGTTAAGGCGAACCGTACATTCATTCTTCTTTAGGAATGAGATACCAACCCTCAAGGCTGTACATGCAGCGATCAAGGAAAATGAAATTATACCCCAAATGCGCGTCGAGGTAATGAGGAAATCCCTGCACGAAATTAATTTTCGTTACGAAACGCGTAATCGGAAGTCAGTATTGATAGAGAGACCCGAAGTAGTCGCCTGGCGTCGAAAATACCTACGCGAAATGATTGAATATAGGCGACAAAACAGAAAAATCTATTATTTGGACGAGACATGGGTAAATACAGGTCACACAGTTAAAAAACCTGGATAGACAAAAACGTAGTGAGTAACCGACAAGCAAGCATTGAAGGTTTGTCAACAGGTCTTTGTGGACCGTCAGGGAAAGGTCAAAGATTGATCGTAACTCATATTGGTAGCGATAGTGGCTTTTTAGAAGAGTGTGACTTGATTTTCGTCTCTAAGAAAGGAGGTGATTACCATGACGAAATGAATGCCAGCTACTTCGAAAGGTGGTTTCAAGGGGTGCTTCAGCGAGTTGAGCCCAACTCTGTGATCGTCATGGATAATGCTTCCTACCATAGTCGTCGAGCCGAACCTGTACCGACTATGGGATCTCGAAAAAGTGACATGCAGCAATGGTTGCGCGAAAACGGAATCCCGTTTGACGATTCATGCGTGAAAGCGGAATTGTATGAAAAAATTAAACAGCACAAACCTGCGAACATTAGTTACGTGACTGATGAGATCGCCCGTCAATGTGGTGTCACTGTGCTGCGGTTACCGCCCTACCACTGAACTGAACCCAATAGAGCTCATCTGGGCTCAAGTGAAGGGTTATATTGCGCGCCATAACACAACCTTCAAATTACCAGACGTTAAGAGTTTACTTGAGACTTCCATACAGCTAGTAGCCCGAAGCTTGGCAGAATGCTATCCGTCATGTTGTGAAGGAAGAAACAAAAATGTGGCAGCTTGACCACCACATCGACACCATCATAGAGCCAGTTATAGTCAATTTCAACGAGGAAAGCGATAGCGACAGTTTATTACTGTCAGATGTAAGTGGAAGCGACGATGAATAAAGGTAATTCCCAAATTTTTGACTTACAATATGTTTCAAACCACTCTTTATTAAGCATGTGACAAATCTAGTTCACCCATGTTAAACATTCATACCCCGCCTATGAACAGCCGACTACTGGTAGTTAAGTGATGTTCACGTGAACATCGATGAGTCATTACAGTTTTAGATAGTTATAGTATAGTGTGGTGCAATTTCGTAGACGGCTACTCTCAAAACTTCAGCCAAATGGGACGTGTAGTTTTGTTTTGACAGCATGTGGAAGCGGGCGTGTCCGCGGATTTTAGAAAAATGGAAAAATCGCAATATCGGTCGGTGATTCGATTCTTGTTTTTGGAAGGGATATCGCGCAGCGAAATCAAAGGGGGCTTGGTGTTTCTATTTGTTAATGTAGCTATGTCTCGACGGTGAAGTAGACGACGTGATTTATGAGTTTTTTAAGTGTTATCAGTTCTTGTACTATTTGGTGTGAAGCTTAACTATCTCTAATAACTACAGTTATGTAAGCTTCTGTCCGTCATATAAATATAATTATATTTTTGTACCCGTCCGTAGTTTGTTGCAAACCGGAAAACGCTTGAATAGTCTGGAAATTCCAATAAAAAATAGATACACCAGTGTTCCGTGCTTATACCTCTCATCCTTGTCGACACTAGTCACACGCACTATATAAACAAAGCAGGTGCCTTCGATATATCCGAATAAATAGTCTGTTCACAGTGGCTCAAAAGCAGGAAAGCATGACCAAAACTAGAAAAAGCTTATTAACATATTTTCGCGGTCTTTGAAAACGAATATGGTATCCATTTGTGAAAAATTAAAATGGCCGATCCAATATCCCAGATATGTTTGCAAAATAAATGTTTGTATTGTGCTCAAATTCAAGTTTTGTATGTTCTATGGTCGCTGACAACGAATTTCGTATCGTTTTTCCAAAAATCAAAATGTCGGATCCAACTGGGCGGACATGTGTACAAAAAATGTTTGGGTTGAGCATAAATTCGAGTTTCCTATTTTTTTGAGGTCTCTCATAACAAATTATACAATTGATTTTTCGAAAATCAAGATTTAATATGGCCGACACGTTTGCAAAAACATGTCTCGATTGTGCTCAAATTTGTTTTTTATCTGTTAAATGTCGCTGATAACAAATTCTGTATCCAGATTTCAACGATCATGTAGGCCGATTCAATATGACGGACGTGTTTGCAAAAAAAAATCGGATAGGTTCTATATTTTGGCAGTTGGAGATTTCAAGGTGGCGGTTGGTTAGTTTTTAAATAGAATGAGAGATCACGTGATACTACATTTTGACGCATCTTTAAATCACATGTAACTCGACAAACAGTCACCAAACCTATAGTAAATGTCGATCTTTTTCTCTTGAAAGGTTCTATTCGAATATGTAATGACATATAGAGCATTCCATTCGAAAATGTTGTCAAACGGAATGTCCAATGTTTTATTTCGCATTCAGATGGACCCTTCCAAAAGAAGAAGATTGATATAACATATTATAGCATTTTGATGATTTGTTGTCAAGTCATACGCGATTCAATGCCCAAAAACGGTACACTTTGACAGTATGTCAGTTTACCAATTTAAGACAGTGAATTTATATTACAGGTTGATAAAGTACCTAATAAAGTACGCGTAAGGGCTTCAAGATGAGATCATATCACTACTTATTCCATTTAAAAAGAAATGTTCCAGGATGGCGTCTCTCCGCCTTCTTCAAATTTCATATTTACAGGGTTTGTCCGAAAAGTAATAGGGCTGAGTCGATTTAAAAAAAATTATTGAGCCAATCGTTACAATTCTTTAAAAACTTTCAAAATAAGCTCCTTCTGCGTCGATGCAGCGCTGCCAGCGCGATTTCCAAGCATTGAAGGCGTCACGGAAGGCATTCTCCGGAATAGCCTTGAGAGCCGCGGTGCATGCTGCTTGGATCCCCTCTGTCGTCTCAAAATGCTTGCCTTTCATCGGCCTTTTCAGGCGAGGAAACAAAAAAAGTCCGGGGGGGCACATCTGGGCTGTAGGGCGGCTGCCGAAGCGTTGGGATGCAGGCCTTGGTCAGGTAGCTGTTCACAAGAAAGGCGGTGTGAGCCGGGGCGTTGTCGTGGTGCAACTTCCAGTCGGCTGCGATGTCTTGTCGGACCCGACTGACCCTTCGCTTGAGTCTCCTGAGCACTTCCACGTAAACTTGGCGTTGACGGTTTGTCCAGGAGGAACAAATTCATGGTGGACGATGCCTTTGATGTCAAAAAAGACAATGAGCACCGTTTTCACTTGGGATTTGCTCATTCTTCCCTTTTTGGGCGAGAAATCGCAGTCGTGTGCCACTCGGAAGATTGCCTTTGTCTCGGGATCATACTCAAAGATCCACGACTCGTCACCTGTGATTAGGTTATTCAAAAATTGGGGGTTACTTTCACACATGTTCAAATTTTCTTGGCACACTTCCACTCGTCGCAATTTCTGGTCGTCACTGAGCACTTTTGGAACCATCTTCGCGCACACCTTGCGCATGTTCAAATGCGGTGTCATAATGTCATGAACCACAGATTTTGGTAAATTTAACATCTGGGCAATTAAACGAATACTTAGTCGACGGTCTGAGTTCAAAACTTTGCGCACACGAGTCACATTATCGGTGTTTGTCGAAGTCGAAGGTCTTCCAGCACGGTCTTCATCAGCGACCTCTTCCCGGCCATCCAAAAAGGCCTGGTGTCACCGAATCTCACCACTTCTTGCTAAAGGAACACCTGGGTAAGCCTGCTTGATCATATCAAACGTCTCTGCCGCAGATTTACCGAGTTTCACACAGAATTTAATCGCGTACCTCTGTTCTAACGAACGGTGCATTTTCGGCTTGCACCACTCACAGAAACACGTCGCGCGAAAATGCCTGTCCTGACTCTCCTACTTTTTTTTATACTCCAACTACCACAAAGGCCTAAGGCCTAAGCACCCATTGGGTACCGTGGGGCTATAGGGGGATACATGGGAAAGGGGGGCCGCCACACGGACTCTGGCGAGGGAACACGTGTGCATAACATGCACACATTCTGGCTCCGCATACGAGAACCGCCGGGTGGTACCTCCGCGTTTGACAGTCAGAGACCATCTACCACCTACGGACAATCACAACATCCATAGCCAAGAGAAAAATTTCTCCTGGGACGGGACTCGAACCCGCACAGCGCACGCCGACTGATCAGGAGACCGAAGAGTCTACTACTGCGGCCACCGCTGCTGCCTGAAACTGATCGGAGACAACTGACCAGCCGCTCATTCGTTAGCTAGGAACGCCCTCTACCGAATCCAGTCGGTGCGCGCTCGCTCCGAAGTACAGTCATGGCGGAAAAATATGAGTACTATTACTTTCAGGACAAACCCTGTATGCCAAAATATCAATGCAATGATTTCATTAATCAGAATTTCAGCATGCAGCAACTTGAGTCGTTTAAAAAATAGAAAGGGTGTATGGATCCTAGTTTTTTGCCAATTATTTTATGATGTCCCATAGCTGCCAAAGGTGCAGTCAAAATTAACGTATTGCTTAACTTGATATCTGAAACATGGCACTATAGCTTTCGTTTATCCGACCACATACAGTCTATCATGGACAGGTATTTCGATGAAGTTGCTACGAAAGATTCGTTCGTCGTCCATTGAGGTCAAGCCTACACCATACCGAGGAGTCGCGGAATAACACGAAATAGCTGTCCGTGATTGGTCGCCTGTGGTCGGGCGAACGATAGCTATGTATATTGCTAGATCACAGACTACCTCCAATCATGGAGAAAACTACACATTTGAAGATTAGCTATCACGTGACAATTTTCCCAAGTTCCCAATCTTATCGCGTTCAGCAAATTGACAAAATATCTACTTCCTCCCCCTGAGGCTGTATTCACCTGATAAAACGCCCGAAGGTACCACTTGGAAAGTTATTAACATCCTGCCGTTCATAACAACATCTTTCCGGAAAACATTTACCTTGCACGAGCCAACTTCAAAGAAAATACCGGCGGCAGCTGCTGCTGCTGTGAAACTCCTAAGACCAACAAACGGCGTTGATTAGCGACGGGATTTTGCACGTGGAGTATTTTGTTTGTCAAGTTGGAGTTGGAAGGTGTTAGTGTTTCAAAAAAGATATTGTAAATTCAATTTTATTAGCTAAATTTACTCTTCAAGTAGTATGATCAATTCCTTCATTAGAAACATATCTCAAAAAGTTGTTATTGATATGAGCTCATCACCAGAAACTTTGATATCCTCGTGAGTGCTTGAACCTCTCGTTTTTATTCTTAAATGGCTAATCTAAACAAAGTGGTAAAATATTGCGATATACAATTCTTTGACGATGGTTCTCAAATATACAACAATTTCAATAATGACAAAATTATAGTTGCAGAATCTCAAATAAATGGAGATTTAAAGATTGTTACACAAAAAATCACAACTTTCGTTTAATCCGTGCAAGATCGAAATATGCTCTCGCAAAAAATTAAGTAAATTTATTAAAAGGTATGTACACACTGGTCTTTGGAGGGCAAAATTATACAGGCACATGAATCAGTTGAAAACTTATGTATTTTTCTTGACGAGTGTCTAAATTCCATTCCATTCCATGTGAATCATATTACTAAGAGTTGTTATTCAGTGCTTCGCTAGTTATATCTCAATAAACAAACCTTAGACAAAACTAAGAAAATTCTATGCGAATCATTGAACGTTTCAAAAATTACATATTGCGATATTGTTTACCCTTTATTATTATATTGGGTATCTATAAAACGCTTTTCTAGCGATATCCACTCCTCAAATACACTCATCATGACTGTCCGCAGATTTTCATTTTTCCATAAAGGCTTCACTTTTAATGTGGACCATGTATATATAATTCATAACTCCCTGAAATTAAATCTTTGGCTTTTGATAACCCTAAAAAACATACCAAGCATCTGATTTTACAGTGCCTAAATTGAATTAGAAAAATATTTATCGTTCACTTCTGCTAATAATAGTATTTATTGACTTATTAGAGTAATAGTTACATTAAATATGTTTAATGCTTTTGTTACATTAGTAGTCTTAACATCACTTATCTGTTTTATTCATGTTTGTATTGTAGCGTTTTCCTGGGTTCATTTAGGTGTGCATTGAAAACACTCGATTTCACAAGAAGAAATGCACAATTTATTTAAGACACAGCACAACTAACTTTAACTTAACTAGATGTCTGAGTACTTATTCCCGAATTATAACTCCATTCTACCCTGCTTCCCTCTCCCGGCCGTCAACTTACATGTATAGTCCGTATCGCAGGTACTCGTTGATTCGAGAAGATTCCGGTGAGCCACATAGCGGCAGTCCAGAATCTTCGAGGTCACTTCGCGTCGATCTCGAAAGCAGAATCTGGCACGGTCCTCAAAAGATGTCACGAACACCAAATGGGAGTCTCGGGCAGGGTCCCCAACAGATGTCGCCAGCAGTCTCACACCGAAGGAGAGTCTGGCGCGGTCCCCAACAGATGGCGCCAACAGTACTGTTCAATATTGTTACAGTATTTATTTTGTATGGATTAAGTAGAGGAATAGCTTAAGCTAAACAAAGTTATTATAGGTGTATTACGCATCAAATATTATTAAACGTGAAAATATTGCAAAGTGCGAAACATAGCTACAGATCGTTTATCCATAACGCTATAATTGAAGTTATCATAACTGTTAAAGTTGGGACATATAACAACAAGTAAATCTTTCTAGTAAGACATTCAAGAATCCAAATAGGCGAACCCTATCCCGCAACCTACGTGAAAAGGCACGATGATTTGATTTGAAGATCATTTTTTGAAAGCGTCAGCTTACAAAAACTGCTCTCGCATTGCTATTGGAATGCAAATAGTCACAAACTATTGTACTGACAATGATATACAGTGCACTGATAAATTGAAGAATATCTTTAGCGGTCCATCTAGAAACAGCTTCCATACTTCGTTTGCAGGTAAATGCCTGCCATACCTGCTCTTCATTAGATTTATCGTTTTATCGTAAATTCCCAACAATTGTCTATTGCTAAAGCCAAGGCATCATTAGAAGCTTGAAGCAAAAACTTTGAACAATTTGGAAGATTTTCTTAATTTCTTTCTTGTCTATCGTTGGGACAGACTTGCACAGATCGGTCTAAATATTCAAACATGCGGGTTCGCTCAGATTGATTCAAATGGCCTGGCAAGATGAGTACCAAGTGATTTCATTTAAATAGAATTATCTCTTGCTGGCTTGGCTATATGTAATACACAAAAAACTCTAGAAACCTAGCTTTTTCCTACCTTATTTTATTAAGCAGTTATGAAAAAATATTCCATTTAATAATTGTAAAATGGAATTCTTCGACATTTGGAAGCCCCCTTATGCTGGCGGTCCAGGGCGGGCCGCCCCATTCGTCTCCTCCTTTAGTTTGCCACTGTACTATGAATTGTTTTATATACGACGCTGTATATGAACATATATGAGCATACGAGGGATGTCTTTTAAGTTTTGCATATGGAAATAAAACAACACGGTAGGTAGTTTTAAATGACTTTATTATTTTTCGAAGTATTCTCCACGAAGATTAATACACATCTGCATGCGCTCGAACCAATTTTCGAAGCACTTATTCCACTCGTTTGCTGGCAGATCCAAAACGGCAATTTTGAATGCGTCAACAGCTTCTTCTGGTGACTGGAACCTTTGACCACTCAGTCTGCTTTTAATTTTCGGGAAAGTAAAGAAATCGTTAGGACTTACATCGGGACTATATGGAGGATGGTCCAATAATTCCACGTTTTCTTCCGTTAAATACTGCCTTGTTTTTTGGGCTGTGTGCGAGCTTGCATTGTCTTGGTGGAGGATGATTCTTCTTTCGGGGTTGATTTTTCGAAGATCGGTTATGACTATTGGTAAACAAATGATGGTATACCAATCCGCAGTAACAATTCTTTGCTCATTAAGAGGAATTATTGTAATAGGTATGACCTGCTTTTGACACAAATGTCGCGACCATCTTTTTCGAAACACCTCGAGAACGGATGAGTTTTGTTGGCTTTTCTTCACCTTGGCACACCCAAACAGCCGACTGTCGTTTATTTTCTGGTTCATAACAGTAAATCCACGATTTATCACCACTAACAATGCTGTACACATTTTTTGAGTTTCCGGAATTGAAACGGTCAAGCGTTTTTTGACACTAATTAACCTTGGCTGCTTTCTGATCTTCAGTCAACAGGTGGCGTATCCAACGAGAAACTAGTTTTCTTACTCCTAATTCTTCATGTAAAATTTTTTGAATTGAGGTCTTTGAGATCTGCAAGGACGCCTCAATCTCGCGATATGTCACATGTCCATCTTTAATGATGAGTTTGCGCACAGCATCGACGTTTTCCTGGGTGACTGCCGTTTTTGGTGCACCCACCCTGGGATGGTCGCTAAGACTCACCCGTCCACGTTTGAATTCTCCATACCAACGGGAAATTGTCGACTTATGTGGCGCTTCGTTGCCGAAAACAGACAGTAACTCAGCAAGGCATTCTTGTTGCGATAATTGTCTCTGAAAGTTGTAATAAATTATGGCGCGAAAATGTTCTCGGTTGAGTTCCATTTTTCTAATGACTTGGTGACACTTAAAAATTCACTGTAGTGAGAACACTGCACGTATTGTTGTGAAACAGACAGTAACTCAGCAAGGCATTCTTGTTGCGATAACACTGATCAACAGCCAAAAAATATCCTAAATAAAATCAACAAAATATTACTATTTTTAATGTGCTAAAACCGGAATGAAACTTATTTTTTCAATATTAGTTCAAGTTTTAGAGATACGGTAATTATATGTGTTCCTGCTGTGACAGTGTTAATATACTGTAATTCACAAGAATGCACGTGCTACATTTTTATATTCGGCAAGGAAAGATGATGTAATCGGCATGATTGTGTTACGTTATACATACGTTGACATTATATTGTTTTATATTAGCCATTTTTGCCTCAGTTGGCTGACAGCGTTCATGCAAGATGTCTCGAAAGTGTGTAAACAATCCAGATCAGTTTTGTTACGTGTGTGGTGATGTGACTTTTGCGTCTCAGAGACAGTCTATTACTCCACTAATAACAAAGGCATATCAGCTTTATTTCGGTTGTAAACTAGGTGATCAAGACAAACAGTGGGCACCCCACATCTGCTGTAATACATGTGCTTCAAGTCTGAGGAGCTGGTTAAATGGCAAAAAACGGTCTATGCGCTTTGCTGTCCCAATGGTTTGGAGAGAGCCTACAAATCATATTAATGATTGTTACTTTTGCATGGTACCTTGTGTTGGACAAGCCACAGGTATGTCCAAGAAAAAAAATCGGTTATTAACTACCCAAACATACCATCTGCGATGAGACCTGTGCCTCACAGTGACGAAAATCCTATTCCAAAACCCCCAGAATCCTACCCCTGCGAATCAGAAAACGAATCAGATCTTGGCGATCGAGTGATTCGTCAGGAAGAAGATATGCCATCAACGTCAAGAGATCCTGATTTTATACCAAGCACGTCATGTCACCAACCGCACAAAATAACACAGTCAGAATTAAATGATCTTGTAAGAGATTTAGAACTTCCAAAATGTAAGGGAGAGTTACTTGGATCAAGACTGCAGCAGTGGAACTTGTTAGAAGACGATGTTTCGGTATGTGTTTTTCGTAAACGCCACAAAGACTTAGAACCATTTTTCAATATGGAGAATAACTTGGTTTTCTGCAGTAACATTAACGGCTTACTGGCGGCTTTAAATATAAACTATAACCCAGAAGAATGGAGATTGTTTATAGACAGTTCAACATTGAGTTTAAAGGCAGTGTTATTGCATATTGGAAATATTTTACCATCTCTTCCTGTAGGGTATGCAGTTCACATGAAAGAATCATATGACAATATGAAGTACCTATTGACATGCATAAAATACGATGAGCACCAATGGCATATTGGTGGCGATTTGAAAGTTGTTGCGCTTTTTTAAATTTTTTAGCGTCCTTATTTTTTATTAAAAAAAATTTTTTCTGCGGCTAGGCTACACAAGGTTTTGCTGTTTTTTGTGTGAATGGGACAGTCGGGCAAAGGCACTTCATTACATCAGACAAAACTGGCCTGTTCGTCAATTCCTAGAGCCAGGTCAAAAAAAGTACAGCATATGCCATTAGTAGATTCGAAAAAAATGTTATTACCACCACTGCATATCAAGTTGGGCGTAATGAAAAACTTTGTCAAGGCATTAGATAGAGATGGGTCAGCTTTTCAATACCTGCGTCAGAAATTTCCAAGACTAAGTGAGGCAAAGGTTAAAGAAGGTATTTTTGTTGGGCCACAGATTCGAAATATTTTGAAAGATACACAGTTTGAAAACACTTTAACAGGTATTGAAAAAACTGCTTGGAATGATTTCCGTCTGGTGGTCACTAATTTCTTGGGAAATAGAAAAGCTGACAACTATAAAACCCTTGTCAAAAATATGCTGTCATCGTATCAAAAGATGGGCTTTAATATGTCTCTTAAGATACATTTCCTACACTCACACCTGGACTTTTTTCCTGACAATTGCGGAGCCGTAAGTGATGAGCACGGCGAACGTTTTCATCAGGATATTTCAACAATGGAAAAAAGGTACCAGGGAAAGTGGAATCCTTCCATGCTTGCAGACTACTGTTGGACTCTTGGTAGAGATGCTCCAGAAACGATCCATAAAAGAACAGCAAAAAGACAGCGCATATAGTGATTCTTATAAGTATATGAATCTTGTTACTTTTTTTAATATATCCTTAAAAATAAAAAGTTTTTTCTAAACCGCAACTAATTTTTTTATTTCATCAAAATTAACAAAGAAGTGCACTTTTCCCACAAGATACAATTAAAAAACTAAAATTTGTTGTCCAGTGTAATTGTCTCTGAAAGTTGTAATAAATTATGGCGCGAAAATGTTCTCGGTTTAGTTCTGTTTTTCTAATGACTTGGTGATACTTAAAAATTCACTGTAGTGAGAACACTGCACGTATTGTTGTGAAGCTTTGAATTTAAGTTTACTAAAGAGTGAGGTTAGGATTCAGTACTGACGTTCGATCCGCGCGGCCTACTATCTTTCTATATGCAAAACTTAAAAGACATCCCTCGTATAGGGAACTACAGCACCAACAATGATACACTAACCTTTTCAAAATATACATAGTAAATAGAACACCTGAGACAAACTCTCATAGATGACGCTACAGTATCTCATTTCATCTCGGATAATTTTAAAATGAGATATATTTTTTTCGGTGTTACCTGCCTTGAACACCACTAATCATTGGCCCATCTGCAACTTGAGTGTACGCGGTTTTCGATCAAATTTGGCACTAGAGTACTACTATGCCAATCCTGAACAGTAAGTGGATTTTTTCAAAGTGCTTTCTCTTGTTCCAGGAACTTCGGTCCCTTGAATGCCGAGGCTGTGCCTTGACAAAACTGAACAACGAGATTTACCATCTCCTACCACATTTGACCCATCTGGATCTAGGCGACAACGAAATCAAGACTCTACAACCTGAAGACTTTAGGGATCTCACCAATCTGAAGCATCTGAAGCTTGACGGAAATCAGCTTACCTCAATAGTCAACTCTACTTTTATTCATCAACCTATGCTTAAAAAGCTTAACTTAGCTAGAAATCATATCGCAAAAGTCTCACCCGATGCTTTCACTAACGCTTACAATTTGACTGAGTTAGATTTGGGTCATAACGAACTGAAAAACTTGGAATTCTTAAGGTCGGTGGCAGATACTTTGGAAATACTGGTTTTAAGTGGCAATCATCTTAAGTTACACGCGTTAAGGGTACTTTCTGAGATGACTGCTCTTAAAGGGCTTCATCTCTCAGGTTGTGGTCTAGCTGATATACATTCACCTATTTTTTCTTCACGCTTAAATATGTTAGACCTCAGCAACAATCATTTATCATCTCTTCAAAGCGAGGTACTTCCTTCTAATCTCACTGAGCTTGACATATCGAGTAACCGGTTTCGGGGCATTTCAGAAGAAGTGATGAGGCTTCTCGACAATGCGAACAACATAAAATTAGAAAACAATATGTGGTCTTGCGATTTGTGCCATATAGTCCCTCTGTTAGACAGAGTTAATAGAAGTACCAGTTTCCGCGAGGTAACGTGTTCCGCACCTTTTGCTGTCAAAGGAAAGAAACTAGGAGCTATGAAGAAGAACGAGTTAAGCTGGTGTACGGTGCCTAGCTATCCAATGAGCGATGCGGACTATTTTCTTGTAGCTAGAGATGGTAAAGTGGGTTTGATGATAGCTGGTACTAGCGTGGTGCTATTAGTACTAGCAATCTGTGGAGTTATAGCAGCACTCTGCTATTCAAGACGACACGCTGCTAAATATTATACCCACGAGGATCAACTAGCTAAAGAAGGTGAATCTATTTTCGAGAACAACCACAGTCCATTGTTTTGTGATGGAGAACTGAGTTTCAAATTTCCTTTAGACCATGGAGATAAAAAGATATCCATTGCAACGATAGACGAAATAAAGAAAGAGCATTGCATAACGAACGGTACTTGAACAAATTAGATTCATAACTAGTCTGATATAAAGTTCACCTTTGCTTACGAATGCAAATATCATCATTATTCAGAGCCAAAATAGATTTTTACGATGCGACTGACTTCTGTACCTTATACTTGAGTACGCGTAAAAAATACTGATGGATAGTTTGAGGCTTAATTCATGTTTTTTATCGCTTTAAATATTAAATATATGGATTAGAGTCCGAGAAGCTATTTTCTGCACAAAAGTAATGAGAATTTGCCATCGGTTTCTTTATACGTGAAAGTCGGTGGACCAATGAATGGAATAAATGTCTGTATTTTTAAAATGTATATATTTTTATTATTAATACAATTTATTGTACATTATTATATCCAAAGATAAACAATAGTGGAAGAGAACCAGTGGAGTATCAAAAATCAAAAAAATGCATGCATGTCAGTTCGCGAAGATACACCTTAAAGTTTGATTATAATGTCTGTGTCCGAACCACATATACGATTCCGACGAGTTTTCCGAAAAAAACACATTTATTGTCACAACACTCTGTGTGTGCAAAAAATAACATAATAGGTGTTGTACACATTTGATACATGCGAAAGAAGAGATATGAGGTCGCATTCGTATGAAGCCGATGCTGTCGCCAAGGATTGTGTATAGTAAAATACCAAAACGCGGAGGCCTTCGAAAATGCGACGCTTGTTTGTAAAATGTCGGTAAACGTCGCTGTAATCAAAACGTACAGCGTCAAAGCAGTGGTGCACGATGACTTCTGCTACTGTCATCAATTCTGATATTTGACTCTCGGAAATCTAGTGGGCGTAGAACATAGAAAGTATTACATTATTCACAGATATTAAAAATAAATGATTTATTTTTTAAAACTTTACCACCCTGTATCTCAAAAGTTAAGATGCTTAGGACTAACATTCTTCTTAAAATGGACCCAAAAATCGCCTCCTTAAGATGACACGTCCCTGTTTTTTAGATTTCTTTTCAACTTCCTGTTTGCAGCAGAATTCTAAATCCTTTTCATCTGATAATTTTATGTTGTGTATAGAGATGACTAAAAAACAAATGTTTTCATTTTTTTTTCGTCAAATAATGCATTTTTTTGTGCGTTCTTTCTTCAATCGGAACTTGTTAAAAATATTAATACAGCTCTGAAATTGTTTGTGAATATTCCTCTTTTATTGAAGAATGAAACGAGTGATAACTTTTGTTCTTATTACTTTTCCTTTTCGAAAAATCCTTGATTTTCTTGAAGCCTCGTCTCGCAGCAAGTTGAGTTTTCAAGAAAAGCAAAGATTTTTCGAAAAGAATAAGTGGTAAGAACAAAAGTAATCACTCGATTCATTCTTCCATAAAAGAGGAATATTCACACACAATTTCAGAGCTGTACTTATATTTGTTAACAAGTAAAAATGCACAATAAAATGCACAAAAAATGCATCTTTTGTCAAAAATTAAAACATTGTTTTTAGTTATCTCTACAGGGTGACTTCGAAGTTGAGTCATTTATTTTAACAGTGAGTAGATCTGATCAAAAGAAATGTTTTTTTCCTTTACCATTTTTCTGGTAAAATTAAAGTAAAAAAGTTATAGCCCTTTGGAAGTTTGAGTACCGCCCTGTCTCAATATCATGTGCTCGTGTTTGGCAACAACGGATATAATCCGCCTTACCGGTTCATCGCATCGGAAACAAAAAAGCGAAAGAATTTGGAACGATGATTGTACAATTTATTATTTTATTCAGTTCAGTTATACATACAGTCAGTGTCAGTCGCGTGTGAATAGTGTCTGTTGCGTGGCTCAAACGAAATAAAAAATGGCACATGTTTATGCGGATCGGTTTCCCAATCGAGTGCAACCAACCCCTCGTGCGTTTGTTAATGTAGTACAACGGGCTCGTGAATCAGGTGACTTAAGACCTCACAGGGGACCTCACGATCAAATGCAGGTCCGCACTGAAATACTTGTCGGGAGGATACTTTATAAAACAAGGTAAACATTTTTTTTTTATTTTTTTTATTTTTACACACATATTTTGGTTTATCTTCCTTCTACAATCGTTATCTGAAAATTAATGGCTCAACTTCAAAGTCACCCTGTATACACACCATGAAATTATCAGATGAAAAGGATCTAGAATAAATACTAAAAAGAGAAGTGCCACCTCAAACATTGACATTTAATTAGAGAACGCCCTGTAGAGCACAAAAGATGCTCCCATAAAAATACCCTCTACGGAGGCCCCTAAGATACGCTACTGGAGATCAATTTCTCTAAAAGTAACGTTTTTTCAACGGCACTGGATAGTTCAACGAAATTTTGACAGCAGGGTATCCGTTTGGTGCTCCCAAAATGGACTCCATAGAAAGCAACTCACTTTAATCAACAGGGACGTACTAGTGCTAACCCAATATTGCTGTTTTTTTAAACCCAATATTTTTTGAAAGAATATTAATAACAACTGATTTATTTTTGAAAACTTTACCACTCTGTATCTTAAAAGTTGTGTCGTGCAGGACCTACGTTCACAGGAAGTTTCCTTCTTGAAATGGACTAAAAATTTGCCACCTAAAATATTGACATTTCATGAGGGAACCCTCTGCAGAACACAAAAAGTAATGGCCATAAAAGATAACCCGAGACCTTCCTCTACTGAGGCCCCTAAGAGACGCTAACAAAATTTTGACAGCTTGGTATCCGTTTGGTGCTCGCAAAATCTAGCCCATAGAAAGCTCACTCACTTTGATCACCAGGGATGGACCAGTTGTAACCCATTATTGTTGATTTTTCGAACCCAATTTAATACCTTTTTAAGGAATATTAATAACAAATGATTTGTTTTTGAAAATTTTACAATCCTATATCTCAAAAGTTAAGATGTTTAGCACCTACGTTCATCGGAAGTTTTCTGTTTGAAGTATACCCAAAAATCGCCTCCTTAGATATTGATATTTAATAAGGAACACCCTGTAAAATACAAAAAAGTGATGCCCATAAAAATGCCCTGAGAAATGTGCCCCTATTCTTGACTTTAATAGAAAATCACACTTCCTCTCTTTTTCTACTCCCCCGGTTTTAAATGGATTCGAAAATACTGTATTCTTGACTCGATAGAAAAGAGAAAGGATATCAAGACACAGGGTTGCCAGGTTTGAGAAAAAGTGTTAAGCCAATTAAAGTGATAACTTTGACAGTCATGAACTAACCAAAGATTTTGGTCAATATTTCCTCCTTATAATTTTATCTATGGAGTCGAAAACTTAAAAAAGCACATTACAAATGAACAAAAGGACAAGATGATTGAATTTCTCTGAAAGCACCCCCAAATGCACCAGGGAAAATTCAATCATAGATTAAAAAATACTGTTTTGGACTGACCAAAACTTAATATCTACTCTTGTCTTTGTTTTGACCGAAAGTGAAGAAGCTCGTGGAGGTGGTTATACTCGTATGAGTGGAGGTAACCTGTGTCCGAAGAAGGTCATTGACCTTTACCTGTATGCCTGAAGAAGTGATCGTCAATGACCAGAAGGAATATTTCTTCGTAGACAGGTTACCTTCTGGTCATTGACGATCACTTCTTCGGCACAGGTGATTCTTTTAACACAGGCTCATCATCTTCTGGTCATTGACGATCACTTCTTCAGGGACAAGAATGGTACGTGAGTCATCGACCACGAGAACTTGATGGACAGAGTACCAAACTGTCCCAGTATCACCCCAGAATAACTACTGCGAATGATTTTTTAAAATTTATTTTATATTTAATTTTTTGTTTCTTCTTTTACTATCTTCAACCAAATCTCTTCCTGTAAGATAGTAATAAAGCATACATTCAATCATTAATTTATGCCAGGTGTAAAAAATTAGCAATATTCCGTTGAACCTAGTTCGTCGCTGACGATCTGAATGAGCTGGTGGGGGAATTTATCGTTCTTTATGTACACAACTACGTGAGGCCCCAAATGGTTAATAATTATACAGTGTTGTCCAAAATTGTTCAAGAAAAACCGATTTTTCGTAGTGTTTCTTAGGCACCTATATATCAAGATAGCACGTAAATACCTTTCCTTTCACAATGTTTTCGTTTGATTAAGTCCACGCTTTGAAACACTGAAATCGCATAGCATAAGTACCAGAAGGCTTCTTATTAAACTTGATATGGGTACGAATATTGCAGCTATAAGCGGATCCAGGGCCGTCTCGATAGGTTTTGGCGTCCCAGACGAATGTCTTGATAGGGAGTTTGAAATAGCCTAGCAAAAGTACGACAAGGATTCTTATTAAACTTGATTTGGGTCCGAATGTTGAAGCCATAAGGGGATCCAGGGCCGGCTCGGTAAGTTTTGCGTCCTAGGCGAATGTTTTGATAGGAAGTTTGAAATGGCCTAGCATGAGTACCACAAGGATTCTTATTAATCTTGATATGGGTACGAATATCGCAGCCATAGGTGGATCCAGGGCCGTCTCGATAGGTTTTGGCGTCCAAGACGAATGTCTTGATAGGGGGTTTGAAATAGCCTAGCAAAAGTACCACAAGGTTTCTTATTAAACTTGATATGGATCCGAGTATTGAAGCCATAAGTGGATCCAGGGCCGGCTCGATAGGTTTTGGCGTCCAAGACGAATGTCTTGATAGGGAGTTTGAAATAGCCTAGCAAAAGTACCACAAGGATTCTTATTAAACTTGATTTGGGTCCGAATGTTGAAGCCATAAGGGGATCCAGGGCCGGCTCGATAAGTTTTGGCATCCTAGACGAATGTATTGATAGGAACTTTGAAACATGGTAAACAAATGACAGTATTTTTTGTTGCTAGATACTAGTACACACTATTAACATTTGCAGAGGGCGATTGCAACAAAGTTTAGATACAATTCGGATCTAAATTAAGTCTATTGTGAAAGCTTTTTCTGAGTCCTACTGTTTGCTTTCTGTTTGCTCTTATCGGAAGATGGTACCAGTTCCAGGCAATCGTCTAGATCGCCCGGTACTGGATGAATTCGCCCCTAGACTTAAATGCTTCGAAGTTTGCTCCGAGAAGCCTAAAACATTTTCGACGCAGATTCAAATTACCCACTTTTACATAAAAGCGGCCATTTCCGAAACAAGACGGATCATTTAACAATCCAATATAGGAATTATCTGCGATCTGACAGAACTCATGATATATTGGAAAAGAAATCTTAACGCACGAATAAAAAAATCCAGTTCGTTCCAAGAAGATTAATGTAGTAAGACACAAAAGGGGAAAGCATCAGCCCAGAAAGGGAAACAGGAGGGTCAATTAGGCCTTTCGAGGAAGTCCAATGTCAACACAGACCACTGCACGTATTTGTGTGCCATGGTTTCGCCATTGGTGTAGCTTACGGATGTAGACCAGTGGAAATAGTTAAACGAAAAAATAATGTGGATACGCTTGTTAAGCAACTGTTTTAACATTTTATAAAAACGCTTTTTCAGAATTTTCACGATTTGAGGACACTTTTTAGACAACTGAGTGTGTTATAGCGTGCGATTGTTTTCCATAATTTTGAGAACAGTTTTATCTATATACAGGGTGATTCAAAAAAAGGTAGCAATATTTCTGGGGCATAGAGTAGATAAAAAATAACACAATAAATGGGCCCTAGAATGACTTCGTTACCGAGACACAGGATCATTGGTCAAAGCAAGATGGATTTAGATATTCACTCAAATTTTTGTACATGTAGTCATACGTACAAAAATATCGCTGCCTGTGGCTACACCAACAACGTCGAAATTGGGAAATATTAATACCTATAGAAGAAAACAAAAAATTTTTCCATCTCATTGACTTTTTTGAAACAACTATTGCATTTTTTCTTTTGGTTATCGATTCTACTTAAATCGTCTGTCTCAGGACATTTTTCCTCATGGAGAAAAAATAGTTTGAATATTTGAGGTAAAATTTGTTTAAAAAACTTCGAACTGTTTTACTTTGAAAATGCGCTGAAGTCAGTCAAGATAATGAAAACTAAATGTGGTGTAATAGAAGAGTAACCTAGCTCACCATAAGGTAATTTAAAGA